ATGGCTCTGAAAAGCAATGCTGCCATGAAGCTCAGTAAGTAACATAATCTTACTCTTTTCTGCCTTCCCCGTGGCCTATTTGGACCCAATTAATAAACCCTGCACTTGAGTGACTCGGGGGGCTGCTGGACCGATCACCCCATCATCTCGCAGGCGAGTCCCTTCCCCTTCTTCCCCTTTGAGAGTGAATGCAAGCAGCTGGCTATCCCCGAGAAGGTGCCAGCAGGTGCGGTTTGTCCATCTTTACCTTCCTGTACTGAAACAGATCTTGAGAACAGATGATTTTCCACTGACCATCTGTAACGGGTTTGCTTCTTAAGATGTACTGACAATACATTGTTTTTCAGAGGGACAGTAACGCCTTGGACAGTTAAACAGGGAGGCGAAGGCACCTTACTTGGACAGTTTGAATAGCTCTTAGAAATGTTTACTCCTTTTCATCATTCATACAGGGAGCCAGGCTGCTGGTGGCTCGTACCCTGCCAGGACAAAGCCCTTATATAAGTGTGGGGAAAAAATCAATTTAAATGTTCAGAAAGCAAACAGAACAGGATGGAGAAAATAGTATTGTGTTTAAAAATAAATAAATTAATTAATTAATTAATTTTAAAAATTAATAATCTGTATATTATGGAGAAATAGCTGCTAGTATTTACTCCACAGTGTTGTGAGGGCAAGTGGAAGGAATCGGAGAGGTCTAAAGCAGCCAAGTGACAGGTGCAGGGTGTCTCTGCTAATCGGGGAGGGGACACACACACACACCTCCTCTGCTCTACACCCGAGACTTGGCAGGCTTGTTCCTGCCGATGACATCAAAAAAGACGTGCAAGAAGTGTGAACCAAGAGGAAGGGGTATTTTCGTGATTGTTAAGCCTCTTTCCATGGCTGTGAAGGACAGAGAGGCAACTCCCCCCCTTCTAACAAGCTGCTTCACCTACCGCTCTGAGCTGTCCTGATGAAGTTCAGTATCGCTTCAAGCAGTTACTAATCTAGCTGTGAACAAGCTTCTTTTTGCTAAATCTGGGAGAAAAAGCCCTGATACAAGCAAGGCTGGCTGCCAATGCGTGCTCGTAAAGGAGCAGAAGCACAGTAGCTTGTGTATCCTTTAAATCTCTTTGTGGTCCAGGGCTCCTGTGCGAGCAAGACCGGGCAGGTCAGCATGCACAGCTGAAATTTGTCAGCACTGGCGTTGCCAGAAGCCCACGAGCAGGGACAAGGCTGGGCTCGGCTCCAGCCAGGTGCAGGAAAACCATCGCTCCTGAAATGCCTTTGGACTCCCAACTCACATGGCTGCTGTTCACTGCCTGGGCTCTAGCCTTTCCTTACATTACTGTTGCAAAGGGATTGCAATTAGGTCCGGTACATAATGCATACAACTTGAACTGCAGCTACCCTATGCTAAATATCATTCCCCAGCTTTCAGAGGCACGGGCAAAACGCAAAGCGTCACAGACAATATTCCTGACAGGCTCTAGCCTGGGCTTGGTTTGGATGTTAGCAGATCTAAATGCCTGTTCTCGAGACCCATCAGTGAGTCTCACCTCTGCTTGTGCGATACTGCCTTAGCTTTGACAAGTCCCTCATGTTTTTTTAAGTCCATGCCTCCTCCTGCCTGGACGAGGCACTGAAGGCACTGAGGCAGCTGCTGTCTCTGCTAGGGTATGGAGGTGCAGCTGCTGGTGCTGCACGGCTGTTTTG